GAATGGAGAAGCGACAACAACTGTATTAATGATTCAAATATCTCAAGTTTGTAAATAAATAACAATTAACTTTCACTGCAATGGAGATGAGACACTGCAGTTAGGTGCACATTTTCCAATTCCATAAGGTTCAAATCCTGCAAAAAACTCCATTTCATCAGCCTCATAACAAAGTAAATACATTAAAAAATAATGATTTTAACCTTACTTTATGTTTTCATCACACTAACCTTAGGTAGACCGCTTGAGATGAACTGTAACATGGCCATCTGCGCCGTGGCATCCTGCATGGCCACACGGTCAGGCCGCAGTTTCAGGTAACTTTCACCACGTACGATATCCTTTAAAAAAAATATATAAGAAATTACTTCAAAATTTGGCAATTTTTATATCATTTTTAAACTGACAGATCTGAGGGCATTTTTTTACTATCATCATAAATTTTAATTACATAATTCAACATTTTATTGGTCAATTTTACTTAGTACACGGCACAATATTTTTTACTACTTCCATGTGCATGTGTATTTACGCAAACATGGGCAAAGAAGTACCATCCCATAATACTGAATTCAACTTCCTTCGGTGTTCAATGATTGGGACTACGGTACCTTCACATTAGGAGGCAGTCCATTGGCTCACCTAAAACAATGTTGTATTTGCACATTAACAACTGATATCTATTCAAATTACCTGGCCACTCGGATCTTCTAAATGCCCATACAAAATCTTCTCCGAGAGTGTTAGGGGGCGCTGTAAACGGGTTTGAACTGTTTTCACATTGGCAGCAAGTTTTTCATAGTCGACATAGTTATTCTGATCAAACCGGCTCATAACAACCTTGGAAGAGAAAATTAATAATAAATTCAAATTAAAAAAATGAAGTTCAAGGTGACAGTTTACATTTCTGTTATCTCTCTAATGAGGAAATCTTAATTTCCCTAATGGAAGCATCTAACTTTCACATCCTTTATCCTACTGTCAACATAATCAGAAATGCTTTCTCGTGGAGTTCATGTTTGGACCTTGAATTTAATAAAAACAAAAATTGTTTGTGATATCCATTTTCTATTTTCTTTGACTATGTAATGAAATTTCTGATGATTAATACTGTATACAGGATTGATTAATACATTTTGCATTTTGTAAACTAGATAAACCCATTGATTAAAGCAGTCAATTTGGTTGGACAAAAAAATATAAACAGTATTCAAACTTATTAGTTTTTTATAGCAATGTGCAACTACCCATAGAGGGCAGCAAACTCATTCTAGGAACTGTCTGCTACCTTCACAGCAACCGTCAGCTCAGGCTTCCTTTTTAAATGATTCAGGCTTTGTGCATTTAGGGCCTACCATTGTTTAAATGCATCCTCTATCCTACCATCAACATGATCAGAAATGCTTTTTTAATGAGTCCATTATTTGGACTTTGAATTTGATAAAAAAAATGTTTGTGATATCCATTTCTATTTTCTTTGACTTTGTCATGTTATTTTTGATGATTGCCAATATACTGGTTAATAAATTTTGTATTTTGTAAGCAGTCTGTTTGGTTTAATAAAAAAAACGGTATTTAAACTTTAAAGGCTTTGTGCATTTAGGGCCTACCATTGTTTAAATGCATCCTCTATCCTACCATCAACATGATCATAAATGCTTTTTTAATGAGTCCATTATTTGGACTTTGAATTTGATAAAAAAAATGTTTGTGATATCCATTTCTATTTTCTTTGACTTTGTCATGTTATTTTTGATGATTGCCAATATACTGGTTAATAAATTTTGTATTTTGTAAGCAGTCTGTTTGGTTTAATAAAAAACGGTATTTAAACTTTAAAGTTGTTTACAGCATTACCAATGTGCAACTGCCCATAGAGGGCAGCAAACTTATTCTAGCCACTGTCTGCTATCTTCACAGCAGCTTTATAGACTTCCTTTTTAAATGAATCAGACAGGCTTTGTGCATTTAGGGCCTACCATTGTTTAAATACTTTTGTTTCCAACAATAATGCTTTGTTTTTCTTCTTTGTAAGTGTGAGGATACTTTCACACCATATGTAATTGAAGTATTTCATCTAAGGTGATTACATGGAATTGTCCATTATTTTTTTAACAAATACAAAGAATTGAGGGTGGAGTTCTTTTGTTTGGTTGTGAAAAAAACAAACCTAATTTTTTCCAAGATTACATTGAAGATACAGAAATAGGAATGCAAACATTTTAACCTCCAAGCCAAAGCTCCACCTACAAATAGCTAATTGAACGATGAACAATTACTTTTGTTAAATGTTATAAATTTGGCAGTTGCTATTGTTACACAAGGTTTAACCAAATTCCTAAATTCTGATTGGATGTGGTAGTATGTATGGTTTGGATTAGGACAATAACATTTAATCAGAATTAGGCAATGGTGTATCTAAGGGGTGCTCCCCAAAAATCATGGTCAAGTAGCTAAAAATCACCTAAAATCACCATATTTTGCAAATTAGGGCACCTCAACTGATCATTGAGCCACCCC